GGAAACGTCGGCGAGGAGGCCGCAGGCGGGGACAGGCAGTGGACGATGTCGCGGCCTTTGGCTTCCCCGTCATTGTGTTCATGTGGTATTTCTCCTTTTTTTTTAAGTCTGCGACCATTCCACTCTTCATGAGTAACAAGGACGTTGCAGCGGAAGCGGTGAGTGCTGTTTCTTGGCCGAGTTCGTTGTTTTTTCTTGGTTTTGCTCGAGTTGAGGGACGGCTGACGCTGTTTCCCTTCTCACAGGTAACAGGCAGTGGCAAAACCTTAGCGTTTGTGATTCCCATCCTGGAAATTCTTCTCAGACGGGAAGAAAAATTAAAGAAAATGCAGGTAAGATGAAGTTTTTCTGTTCTGAGTGTATTTCTGTGAGCTGCCAGCAAGATTTGAGGACTTCAGGAAAAGTGCTAATAAGGAAAATCGCATACGCGTAAAGTGGCTGTGGGCTCAGCTCTTTGATGTAGCAGTAATAACAGCCAGTTTAAAACTTGAAAATAAATATGGAATAATAAATATTCAATAAGTATTTATTGAAAATAAACTATTTCTTTGCACTTAGATACAGCTTTTTATTTGACTTTATCAAGTTTCCGAGGTGTTCAAAAAATGTCTTAAAATCTCAAGTATGTTGATGTACTGCAAACGAGTCTTTGAGTGCTTTTTAGTATCCATTGGCTTTAAATGCGTTTTAGTGTACAGGGAAATGGCACTGTTATTTGCTATTAAATAACATTCTTAGATACTGCTCTTTGAGCAAAGGCATTTTGCATATTGGTATAATTTTTTCGTAGACATTTTGTGTTATTTTGTATATTCTGTATTTCTGTAGAAACTTTTCATCTACAACTGGGATCATAAACATGGCTCATCTTGGCTTAGCTTGCAAGGGAGAATTTTGCCCAAGTCTTCATTCTAGTCTGTTATTTTCCACAAATTCCTTTTGGTTTTTTCCTGTGCAGGTTGGAGCTATAATTATCACACCAACAAGAGAATTAGCTATTCAAATTGATGAGGTGCTGTCACATTTCACAAAACACTTCCCCAGGTTTAGGTGAGTGAACTTCAGGCTTGTCATGACCGTAGTTCCTTCTCTTTAGAATTCTGTCATTCGTAAACTACCAAAACTTTAAAATGACCTCAATCTTCCTGTTTTGTTGTTTTAGTCAGATTCTTTTAATTGGTGGCCGGAATCCCATGGAAGACGTTGAAAAGTTTAAAGAGCATGGGTGAGTTGACTGGCAATAATTTTTATCAGTGCCTCACAGCTGTGGTTTTCTCCTTGTCCTTAGGGTTTTCAAACTGGGGCTTTGGTCCTGCTGGTGCTAAAATTTGAAGATACCGCATGAGTATGGTAGGGTGTGTGCTGATGAAGTTGTGGACTCTTTTGCTTAATTGAGATACGCCATAATGAGACAGTAGGAAAGGATTTCATGTGGAATCGGTGCCATTTACATGCTGTTGGGTGAAGAACAGTGTGCAATGCGGTGAGCCGAAAACCCTCTTCACTCAGTATTTCAGTTCCTTCTTTCTCATAAGTGTTGTGCTGGCAATAGGCTCTGGTGAGACTGAGATGGTGCTGATGAATGGTTTTGTGAAGCTGTTTGGTGCTGATACCAATGATGAAGTCTTGAAGCACTCATATTTGCCACTGGCTTTTGCGCAGAGGTACCAAATATTTATCCTAGCTGGTAGTCGCTTTCCATAGTTGCTGATGATGTTCTGAACTTTTATTACCACAAAGGGCGTGCTTTCACCTGAGCACTTTTTTTTAACACAGTACCTGAAAGGCACTGAAAGATTGATACAGTTAGAAGTGACAAACTGAAATTGTTTTATTGATGATTGCAGTCAACTTGAGTGCAGGTTTGTGCTGAGATAATTGTGTTAACAGCTCCCCCGAAGTCCTTACCTTGCAGTTACAAAATTGCTGTGTCCCACAACAGCGGGAACATTGTTGTGGCTACGCCGGGCCGCCTGGAGGATCTGTTCAGAAGAAGAGCAGATGGGCTGGATCTAGCAAGTTATGTAAAGTCGCTTGATGTGTTGGTGTTGGATGAAGCAGACAGGCTTCTAGACATGGGCTTTGAAGCAAGGTATTTAAATAATAAATTCTAGTAATGCTTGTGAAACTTTAAATGAGTTCAGGTACGATTTGTGTGAATGAGCGTGGCCTACAGTGACCTCTAAAGTTTGATTTGTTGTTTTGTTCTTTTACCTCTCTGCTCTGTAGAATGTATAAAGCAATTGCTGCGGGGGGAAGAGAATCAGGAAAAGTGAATCTTTGATGAATACAGAGTTTGCAGTTTATTTTTTTTTAAATGTGTATCAGCACATGTTGTATCGATGCTTGATTAAGTATCATTTCTGCCCTGGAGTGGCTTAAAAACCTTTAGCAAGCAAGCTTTGATGTCCCTTTTCCCTTAAGATCATTAGCCCAATAGAAGATGGCACTTCTTGGCACTCTAATAAAAGCTACTTTGTTTATAAACCCTTACTTCCAATGATTAAGCTTCTTTCTGAGGGAAGCCTTGGGACAGTTACGTTTTACATGCGCTTACTTACAGTCTAAACTCCATTCTGGACTTTTTGCCGAAGCAGAGACGGACAGGTCTGTTCTCAGCAACTCAGACTCAGGAGGTGGAGAACCTGGTGAGAGCAGGCCTCCGCAATCCTGTCCGCATCTCGGTGAAAGAGAAGGGAGTGGCAGCGAGCAACACGCAGAAAACCCCAACGCGCCTGGAGAACTACTATATGGTGCGAACCTCTGTGCTTCAAGATAGCTTCTTGTTTCCTTCTCCTTTTTCCTGGTTCCACCAATAGGTTTCCACCAATGTGGCCACTTACGGTCACATTAACAGAGGAACCAGAAGTCTCAGACATAAAGCTCTTGCAGGTTCTCTGAAGAGCAGTAACCAAGCTGAGGAGAAAGATCTGAATTAGCAGCTCTGCTGTTTCCTGCTCTTGACCTGCTCATAGTGAATGGGCGTGGGAGGAGAGTTCGGCAGAGTCAAAGCAGTGGCTGAGGGAAACCTGAGAAGCTGATGTGGGAGAGGTGTTGTGGCTGGAGATAGGAGGACTGGGTGTTTAAGTAGTTATTTTTGCTTAAAGCAAGATGTATGAAAGATTATTCCACAGGATGAACTGTGGTACAAATGATCAGTATTAAGGAATTATGATTTAGGCATCTATCAGTGCACAGTGGAGGAACCCGGCAGATCGCTTTGTGTCAACTCCATTTTCTTTTTTTTCTTCTTTTGCCTGTGTAGATATGCAAAGCAGATGAAAAATTCAATCAGTTGGTGCATTTTCTTCGACAACACAAACAGGAGAAACATCTGGTCTTTTTCAGGTAATTCTGTTTGGGTTTCATTGTGAAAACAGCGTGATGGTTTGTTACTAAATTCCAAAACTGCCCTCTGACAATAACGTAACTATTTTAAAAGTGGTTCATTTTAATATCTGTCTTTTAGAATATGTTGCATAAAACCAGATTGATCATTGCTTTGTGTCAGGATTACATTGAACTTTAGGGCTACAAAGATGATGGAGGGAGTGGAGCATCTCCCTTATGAGGAGCGGCTGAGGGAGCTGGGGCTCTTTAGTTTGCAGAAGAGGAGACTGAGGGGAGACCTCATTCATGTTTATAAATATTTAAAGGGTGAGTGGCACGAGGATGGAGCCAGGCTCTTCTCGGTGACATTGATAGGACAAGGGGTAATGGGCACAAGCTGGAACACAGGAGGTTCCACTTCAATTTGAGAAGAAACTTCTTCTCAGTGAGGGTAACAGAGCACTGGACCAGGCTGCCCAGAGAGGTTGTGGAGTCTCCTTCTCTGCAGACATTCAAAACCCGCCTGGACGCCTTCCTGTGCAACCTCATCTGGGTGTTCCTGCTCCGGCAGGGGGATTGGACTGGATGAGCTTTGGAGGTCCCTTCCAATCCCTCACATTCTGTGATTCTGTGAACTTTGTTAAGCAAAACATGTGTTTTATATGCATTTTTGAAGCAATACATTCTAGATGATTTCATGTTAAATTACAAAAGGTATATATTTTAAATAAGAACAGACAATAGTGTATATTTTTAAAGGTCTCAGACCACTCTAGCTTGTCTGTGTCAACCAGATTAACAATGCAGCATAATCTTTTGCTTTTATGTCTTTATCACAACAGCACATGTGCCTGTGTGGAATACTATGGGAAAGCTTTGGAATCCTTAATTAAACAAGTGAAAATAATGAGCATTCATGGGAAAATGAAACACAAGCGTAACAAGATTTTTACCGAGTTTCGGAAACTCCCCGGGTAAGAACACACGAACAGGCTAAACCAGCCAGAGTAGAAATCGTTAGGGATATGTAGTTTTGTCTGACAATATTATTCTGCCGGTTAAGTGCAGAAGAGTGGCGTTGTGCTGAGGAGAAGGATGCTGCTGGCTGCTGCTGCGTGTATTTGTAACACAAACCTTGCTTAGGTGCTTGGGCTGCAATCACAAGCAAAGTGAAAATGTGACTGGAGCATGTCCAGCCTAATTTAGGTAATTCTTGTGACAGCGTGGAAGGTGCAGCGATGTAGATTTAAGATACCCTGCAGCCTGGGACCCTCTCAAGTTTGTGGTGCTTGCTGACCAAACATGCGCACTGTGAAGCCCATCACTACTGCTGCTGTTTTAACTGGGCACACTGGACAACAACGGCTGGGGGGGGACTGTTCAATCTCTCCGTAAATGACCTTGATGAGGGGATTGAATGT